CTAAAATGTGAAAATTAAATTATACTGCTTATTCATTGCTCTTTTTTAATGAATACATTCTGATCTGTCACAATGCATGTTTACCTAGGTAAAATAGCTTATAAGCAATTGAATTAACAAGAGAATTACGAGAGAATTATGTCATTCTAAGGTAGATACCCTCCAAATGATTTTCCAAGACAAAGCAAGGGAGGTAGAATAGTAGAACTATATCCTTCATCAGAAAAGTAAGAAACCATTTGATCTATTATTGGCATCAGGAGCCCCATTGGTTGTATTTTCAGAAAATTTAAAAGCTCCCTTCCCCAGAGAGGCTATGACAGCCCCCTACTCCCCAATTCTGAGCTGCCTTCACTGCGTTGTGTGTGTCCAATAGCACTGTTCTAAGTACTGCTAGCGCTTGCATTATATGGGTCTTGTATATTTTTTTTTCCCCACATGCTTGTTTGTTATATGGACATATTGTACAGTGGTGAGTCTCTGCCTAGAGCTGCCCGCCTGGGTAATTTATCACCCAGATACCACTTACTAATTTTTTTGTTAGCTTTGGCTACAAAGTTACACAGGTTTTGCGCTGTCTTTCCCTAAATCTGTTGTGTAGTCTTTCCCTAAATCTGTTTTCCTCAAAGCCCAATTATTTTGAGTGCACAGTTTTACTTTTCATTTTAGAAGAGTATATACATTGCTTTATGGAAAAAATACCTGTATAATAATTAATATTAGTGAGATCATCAACTTATTCCCTGTATTATCTTTAATTAGGCGCTCTTCGCTTTATGAGGCGGATAATTGGCCTTAAAGATGAATTTTATAATCGTTACATCACCAAGGGAAATCTTTTTGAGCCAGTTATAAATGCACTTCTGGATAATGGAACTCGGTACAATCTGTTGAATTCAGCTGTTATTGAGTTGTTTGAATTTATAAGAGTGGTAAGTTTATATTAAAGAACTGTTAGTAATTATATGTAAAAGAATCTTATGTAAAGAAGTAATCATATGTAAAAGTTAAATGATTGTATATAAACAAAGTGATTTCTTCATTCCCTATTTTCTCCTGAAATTATTCATCTTCTGTGTTACAGAGTCTATTTCTGATAAACTAAAATTTTTAAAAATCGCTTTTTGTTTTTATTTGCATGATTATAGTTTAGTAATATTAATGTTTTAAATTATGAAGTTTAAAAGTGAAATTCAGTTTAAACTTTTAACCCATATTTTTTTTTTTTTTAAGTTCCATTTTTATTGGCTTAATGTTTCAGGATCACCTTTAGTATATGTGGACATTTTGATCAAGTATGCCTTATTCATGTGATCTCTTAAGAAAAGGTGGGGGTTTTTTAATTGTAGAGGTAGTGATTGAAAAAATGAATAGAAAGACTGAAAGATAATTATTTTGGTAGACATTGATACAAGGTGCATAAACTCTAGGATGGAATCTAGAGTTTTAAGTTGAAGACACCAGGAAGTTAGATGGACTGCTCCAACTACCGTATTCTACAGATGAGAAAACTAACACCCAAAGAGCATTCATTTGAGGGGTAGCACATTCAGGGCTTAAAGCTATGTCCTGTCTCAGTTTTAGGCAACAAAAGATCTGTCATAAAAAGATTTGGAGAGAGCTCTATGTGAAGAACAGGGATAAGACAGATAACTATAAAATTAGTACAACAAATATACCTCTTCTGCACTTAGACACACTGAAATAACTCCACTGAAGAAATGGCTCTGTGATTGAAAAGAACTTGAAAAAAAGAAAGTCAAAGCAAGAAATTCATTCCCTCTTTTTATTTCTTTCTTGGTTTTTGTTTTTTTGTGTTTTTTTTTGAGTTGGAGTCTCACTCTGTTGCCCAGGCTAGAGTACAGTGGCATGCTCACAGCCACCCCAGTACTGACTTGTTGGGCTCCAGCATTCCTTCCACCTCAGCCTTCCAAGTAGCTGGAACTACAGTCACACGCCTCCACGCCCAGCTAATTTTTGATTTATTGTAGAGACAAGGTCTCACCAAGTTATCCGCGCTGGTCTCAAACCCGCGGGCTCCCAAAGTGCTGGGTACAAGCTGAGCCACCAACCCCAGCCCCCTAGTTTTATTTCTTACAAAGCACATTTCTCTTTTATGGCATTCTCATATGAAGATCATTTGGCAGACTGAATTGTTTTTTCTAAGAGTGGCCAGTTGTCAATTATATGATTTCTAAAAGGATGAAGAAGATAGAGGTATAGTCTTTAACCTTAGAAAAGACGGAAAACATGGTTAACTAGTTAACTAGGTTCACAGGGTGATCACATAATAAATCAGAACTTTTTATTTTATTTACTTTTTTTTTTTTTTTTTTTTTTTTTTAGTTGGAGTCTCTGTCACCCAGGCTGGAGTGCAGTGGCACACTCATGGCCAGTGCAACCTTGACCTGCTGGGTTCACCCAATCCTTCCACCTCAACCTTCCAAGTAGGTGGAACTACAGGCGTGCACCATCACACCCAACTAATTTTTTAGTTTATTGTAGAAATGAGGTCTCACCAAGTTGCCCAGGCTGGTTTCGAACCTCTGGGTTCAGGCAATCCTCTCACCTTGGCCCTTCAAAATGTTGGGATTACAGGCGTGAGCTACCACACCCAACTTATTTTATTTTTTTAAGTAGGAGTCTTACTCTCCCCAGGCTGAAGTGCAGTGGCACACTCACAGCCACCTCAGCCTCGACCTGCTAGGTTCAGGTGATCCTTCCCCCTCAGCCTTCTAAATAGCTGTAACTACAGGCATGCAACACCATGCCTGGCTAATTTTTGGATTTATTGTAGAGGCAAGTTCTTTCCAAATTGCCCAGGCTGGTCTCAAACCTGTGGGCTCAGGCAATCCTCTCGCCTCTGCCTTCCAAAGTGCTGGGATCACAGGCATGAGCCACTGTGCTTGGCCAATCAGAACATTTTATATTTTGATAAACTTTTTTTTTTTTAATGTACTAACTTTTCCATTTTTCTCCTGAAATTTTTGGTGAGATACCGGCCAGGTGCAGTAGCTTACACCTTTCAGCCTAGCACTTTGGGAGGCCGAGGCAGGAGGATTGCTTGAGCCCAGGAGTTTGAGACCAGCCTAGGCAATATAGACCTAGACCTTGTCTCTACAAGAAATTTTAAAAACTAGCCAGATGCGATGGCATGCACTAGTAGTCCCAGCTACTCAAGAGACTGGGGCAAAAGGATCACCTGAGCCCAGGAGGTCAAGACTGCTGTGAACCATGAGCCATGCAAGTGCACTCTGGTCTGGGTGACAGAGTGAGACCCCAACACAAAAAATAAAAATAAAAAAATTTGGTGAAATGCAGATAAAATTAACCATAGGGTTCATACCCTATCCCTATTAATCCCAAAACTTAATTGACCTTTTTGTCTTTATATAACACAGAATCATTTTACCTACGTTTTTAATTTTTCTTCTTTGTATATTTTTGATTGAGATGTCCAAGGAAATAAGTTTAAATACTTAAAATCCTTAATGCAACCAGAGAAGTAGCCTTTGTAGTTCTTACTACTTAGTATTATGTATAAAGTCCTGCATTACAACTTTATTTTTTAATGAGCCTTCTGTGCACCCATGCATTTGCAATGAGGATTTATAATTTAGACGTTATTACTATCAATTAGATTATTTCACAAAGATTAGTAGACTATGGGGATAGAAATGTTGAATTCCAGATAGTTTATCAGATCTGAATATGTAATACAGTTGGAGGAATCTCTGCTTGCTGTTATTTAGATAAGAATCGTCCCGTGTTTTTCTTCTTTTTCCGCATGTGGGAGCCAGTCTCTGATGCAGGAAAGGCTTGAGAGGGATCTCTTTGTCATCTAGCCTTGGCCACTTCTATACATGTGGCAGAGTTAGGTTCCTTTGAAAACTTACCGAATGTGCCAGAAAGCAAGTCACCACAACTTTATCCCATTTGACAGCAGTTAAATAGAAACTCATTAAATAAACCTGTTTGCTGTTTTTTCTTTGAGTGATACATAATGCTATATATGTATGAGGTATATGTGAATATTTTTTACATGCATAGAATGTGTAATGAGTAAGTCGGGATGACTGGAGTATTCATCGCCTATTGAAAATACAATTTTAACATCTACCCTCTAACTAGCTGTGTACTCTTGATTAAACCATCCAGCCGTTCTCAGAACCTCAATTTTGTTTTTCTCTAAAATGGGGATAATAAAACCTTTTTTGAGAACTGTGAGGATCAAATGAAATTGTATGTCAAAGTGCTTTTTAAATTGTGCAATATAAATACAAAAAATAAACAGAAGATGTCAAGTAAATCCATTTACTTTTCAAATGTTCTTTATAGTCCCCCAAAAGGGCTCCAGTGAATTGCTTCTCCTTTTTCTCCAAGTTTTCTGTGGAATCCTGACTCATGTGTAAAGAAACTAGGACATTTTTTTTGGAAGGTGATTTTGAAAAACCTTTTTTTGATCAGCTTTAGAACTACAAAAATTTATTTTGTTTTTATCCTAATAAGCTTTGTGTTATATTTGAAATGTAAATTTTGTGCTTCTACAGGAAGATATCAAGTCTCTTACTGCACATATAGTTGAAAACTTCTATAAAGCACTTGAATCAATTGAATATGTTCAGACATTTAAAGGATTGAAGACTAAATATGAGCAAGAAAAAGACAGACAAAACCAGAAACTGAACAGGTATTGTATAAGTATATTGTATTTACAGCCTGCAAAATTGTGTCCAAAATTGTCTGTAGTTTAGATCTTGCATGTGAAAGTTACTGAGGAACTTAACTTTCTATCACGAGTTAGCACTAGATATAGGGTTGTGTCGTGGGAGGATAGGATGTCCTTCCTGCCCCCAATCTTTTATATGATGAATCACTGCTGCAGTTGGCACTCAAAATGAAGTTTTAGTTTAATTTACAAAACCTTAAAATATTTTTCAGTGTTCTTTGGCTATATCTTCTATAATGACAGAGGAGATTTTGATATAAATTATGCTCAGTTAAAATTACTTCAGTTCCTCTTGGTTATACATATTCTTTCCTTCAGCTTAATCTGATCATAAACTTTAAATCATTACTCAATATTTGTGATATATTTCTTACAGTGTACCATCTATATTACGTAGTAACAGATTTCGAAGAGATGCAAAAGCTTTGGAAGAAGATGAAGAAATGTGGTTTAATGAAGATGAAGAGGAGGAAGGAAAAGCAGTTGTGGCACCAGTGGAAAAATCTAAGCCAGAAGATGATTTTCCAGATAGTTATGAAAAATTTATGGAGACTAAAAAAGGTATTAAATTTCTGAATTTTTGTACAGTACATTCTCTTATTTAGTGCAGAAATTATTCAGTTGCTTATGAAAGTTTGTTCAAGCCGGGCTTGGTGGCTCAGCCTGTAATCCCACGCCTTGGGAGGCTGAGGTGAGTGGATTGCCTGAGCCCGTGGGTTCGAGACCCGCCTGGGCAACTTGGCGAGCCTTCATCTCTACAATAAATCAAAAAATACTGCCGGGCGTGGTAGTGCATGCCTGTAATTCCGGCTACTCGGAAGGCTGAGGCGGAAGGATCGCCGGAGCCCAGCAGGTTGAGGCTGCGGTGGCCAGGAGCGGCCACTGCACTCCAGTCTGGGTGACAGAGTGAGACTCCAACTAAAAAAAAAAAAAAAGTTTGTTCATAGTTTACAAAGCAAGAAAGACATGAATTTTATACTGAATCATGTCCTTTTAAAATTAATCACTTTTTCTAAATCTTTTTTGGGGAATTCTTTTTATGTTCAAAATGTTTTTCTTGAAACTTGCCATTTTGTGATGCCATTAATTCACTATTTAAAAATTGCATTATCGGCCTTTGCTTTGGTAAACTCTGGTGTGGCATATGGCTCTTCGAGCTATAGCCAGACTATGTTTCCTAGCTGTCCTATGTTTTCCTGTGTTTCCTATGTTTCCTCCTTTACCTTGGGGAGGTGAATCTCTTCTCTTTCTCTCTCCCCCTCTCCAACTTACTTTCTAAATAAACTATATTTTCCAAGCTAAAAAAGAAAAGAAATTGCATTATCTACTTAGTCTTCTGTGAATGGTCTTGGGTTTATTTCTATACTGAAATTCCCAGTAATAGTAGAGACCATATAATTTATAGAAACCTTCTAAAATACTCTGCCTCCTTGTATAGTTGAGGAAACTGAGCTCAGCTCAAAGAAGGAACTTTGCTTTTTGAAATTTTAAAATTATTATAAAAGTTACATAAAGATAAGTTTCAAGAGAAGTGAAAAAATAAAATTTCTCCCGATTTTCAAATATGCTTAACTTGTATCTTTCAAAAGAACTAATCACTTGAATTCTGTGGCCTGAGAAATTAACAATTTTTGAATACTGCCCTGCATATATCATTTAAATGTACAATGAAAATTTTTATCTTGAAAGATAAAAGTCTTTCCTGAATTTATTATTTAAGTTTGGGATTTTGAGTGTGACATTTTCTAAAGGCAGTTCTCATTTGAGAATTTCATTCATTTCTTACATTTTCTTTGCAACTGTGTGTTCCCAACCTCACTCACTTTTCATTCCTTTTTTTTTGGAGTCAAAGTCTCACTCGGTAGTCCAGGCAGGAGTGCAATGGCACGCCACCACATCCTCGACCTGCTGGGCTCAGGTGTTCCTTCCACCTCAGTACCTTCCAAGTAGCTGGAATTATAGGCATGTGCCACCACGCTCGGCTATTTTTTTTTATTTATTGTAGAGCCGAGGTCTTACCAAGTTGCCCAGGCTAATCTTGAACCCCTGGGCTCAGACAGTCCTTTTGCCTCCACTTTCCAAAGTGCTGGTATTACACGTGTGAACCACCATGCCAGGCCATTTTCCACTCATTAATGCAGTAAGTTGTATTTGTTTCAGCCTGGGGGAGCAAAAAACTTATTTAAAAAAACAAAAGAAATAGACAGACATATTCTTCTGCCTTTATTCATTATAGGTACTGCCCTGACTACTATCAAAAGAGGCAGTAAGGCCATATTTGGAGTACCATATCCAATATAGAGTGCTATGCCATTAAGCATCATACATAAAAACAGTAACAACCAGCTGTTAAGGGGGACTGAACAAATGTCATAAAGAAACAGAAGAAGGAACCTGGAATATTTAAATTATGAATAAGAGACTTATAGACTTGATCATTATCTTTAGGCATTTGAAATATTGACTAGTAGGATAGATTATTATTAGGTTTTTACTATGAGTAGAGAAGTATAGAGTTAGTGAGTGGAAGGTACAGAGAGACAATAAAAGCAAGAGTCAGACAGCTAATGAGTCCTCGGAAGTATACCCTAAACTCCACGATGTAGAACTCTGACTCAAGATGGCTAATTTTGTTATATGATTTTTAAGGTACTAACACTGAGATTTTTACGAGTCTAGATAATAAAGACTTATCACTAAACATATTGTGCTCTATTGTTTTAGCTCTTAGAAACAAAGGCTGTTAAACATTTTTAAATTATTATTCTTTTTAGACATTTTGACTTAGCAGGATTTATTGATAATAGATTTAATTTTACTTTGATTTTAGCAAAAGAAAGTGAAGACAAGGAAAACCTTCCCAAAAGGACATCTCCTGGTGGCTTCAAATTTACTTTCTCCCACTCTGCCAGTGCTGCTAATGGAACAAACAGTACAAACAGTAAATCAGTAGTGGCTCAGACACCACCAGCAAGTTCTAATGGGTCCTCTTCCAAAACTACAAACCTGGCTACATCAGTAACAGCCACCAAGGTATGTGAAACAGCACTACTCACAAAGTTTTTTTTTCCATCTGTAAAATTATTGAATGGCCAGGTGCTCACGCCTGTAAGCCTAGTACTATGGAAGGCCAAGGTAGGAGGATTACTTGAGGCCAGGAGTTTAAAACCAGCCTGGGCAACATAGCAAGGCCCTGTCAATACCAAAATAAAATTTTTAAAACTGGGCAGGGTGGCACACACCTATAGTCCTAGCTACATAGGAGGCTGAAACAGGAAGATCACTTGAGCACAGGAGGTCAAGGCTGTAGTGGGCCATGATAGTGCCACTCTACTGTGGCCTGGATGACAGAGCAAGACTGCCTCAAAACAAAACAAAAAATTGTATTTACTGAAGAAAATTTGTATAAACAAAACAGTTTCAAAGAAGGAAAAGATGTTGCGTACATTGTCTTCAGAGACCATGGTTGCTAACATTTTATTGATTTTTCTTCAGGTCTTTGAGTTTACCTGGCACATAATTGAGATCCTTCTATAAACACAGTTTTGTATCCTGCTTTTATTTACCGTATTCCCAGCACTTTGGGAGGCCTAGGAAGGAGGGTTGCTTGAGGCCATGAGTTTGAGACAAGCCTGGGCATTATAGCAAGACCCCCCATCTCTACAAAAAGTTTAAAAAATTAGTTGAGTATAGTGGCACGTGCCTGTAGTCCTAGCCACTTGCAAGACTAAAGTGGGAGGATTACTTAAGCCCAAGAGATCCACTGCATTCCAACCTGGGCAACATGGTGAGGCCCTGTCTCAAAAAAAAAAAAAAAAAATTTCTGTTACTAAAACATTGTTGGTGACTGTAAAACTTTGTTTTATTTAACTGTATCATAGTATATATAAGCATCCTTTCTCTCCACACTTCGAGTTGTATTTTAGAACACTTAAGTTGATTCTGGTATTTCACTAATCTGACTGCTAGTGTTATTGCAATTTAAATTATTTTCTTGGATCAATGAGCAGTAGAAAAAATATCTTCACACACATCGTCAAATTCCTCTCTGGAAAGTCTATACCAATTTATGTTCCCAGAAGCAGTGTATGAGTATGCTTGGCTCACTACAACTTTGCCAGTGTTATTATAATTATTTTTCATCTTTTCCAGTTAGGTAGGGGAAACAGTATGTAATATCTCATATCTAATTGTTAGCCTTTTGAATTTGCTGTTCTTGAGTTGTCTGTTCAAAGTATGTCTTTAAAATTGGATATTTTTGTTGCTAATTAATTTTTAGTTAAGGATATTAACCTTTCTCTTACTCTCATAGCAAACATATTTCCCATTACCTTTTTTTATAAACAAGTTCAAATTTTATATGAGACATTTGTCTTGTTCATTTATTACATGAAACCATCCTTTATTCCCAAAAAGGAGTAGCTTAAAATAAAAAGGCTTAACATACAGCACAACTGTTAGTGTAAGAGTAGAAAGACAAGAGAGAAATGCCATAGTAGTACAAAGCCTCTCAAAGGATTGCATCTTGTGTCGACACAAATTATAAATCTGAGTTTCTTGGCTTACAAACATGTAGAATCTTCATTCAGTATTGTAATGAGGTAGGCTCTTGACTAAAGATCACACAAGTAGCATTTTCATTGGTATTCTGCTGTGTTTGAAATACATTTTGTTTTTTAAGCTAGAAATTTTTACAATTACATTTCACTTTGTGATAGGACAATTTAGTGTCATATTGTGACACTACATAAAGAATATCTACTGTGCAGTCATATAGTTTGGGTTCGTATCTTAGCTCCGCAGCTCTTCTATTAAAGCCAGATACCTGGATATTTTAGGTGTGAAATTACCTAGGTAACGGAAGTAACGTATACTTCCATTGTATTTGTTTATCCATAGAGGTCCGAAGGGTTTGAACTAAATAGTGTTTACAGAAGCCCTGTAAACCAAGGGATTGGTTCTAGAGGAATGTAGTCCTGTGGACATGTTTAATTTTTTTTTCTTTTTTTCAGAGTGCCCACACTTTTAACAGCATTTTCAAAGGGCCCATTACTCATCAAAGGCCAAAGCCCTGAATTATCTCACCCTTACTTTTCTTCTGATTAGAGAGACCTGGCTCTAAATTTTTCATTTATGAGTTTTTAGGAGCAACTTGCTGTGTTTATTATCCCCAGTCATTTAAACTATTCTTTAGAGGCAGAATGCAGACGACGTGATGAACAAGGACCACAAGGACACTGCTTGTCACTGACGGCTGTTATGCTTGCCAGTGTAAGAGCAGAGCGATGCACGAGTTCGTCTCCAGCGTTCTTTCCGGCTTTCCAATGTTAGGGTTATGTTAGTCCTGCTATTTGGAAAAATAGTCATTTTCTCACAGAAAAATTTTGCTGAGTTGAGTTCTGAGGTGTCCTCAATAATCCGAGAAACAGAAAAGTTGAGGGGTACTGAGCACCACCAAGTAATACTCAAATAAATGTTCATCATTTTTTTCTTTTTTTGTCAGAGTCCCACCCTGTCGCCCAGGCTAGAGTGCACTGGCGCAGTCATGGCTCACCATAGCCTTGACTTGCTGGGATCAGGCAATCCTTCTACCTCAGCCTTCCAAGTAGCTGGAACTACAGGCAGGCACCACTATGCCTGGCTAATTTTTCTTGATTTATTGTAGAGACAAGGTCTCACCAAGTTGCCTGAGCTGGTCTCGAACCCCTGGGCTCAGGCAATCCTCTCACCTTGGCCTCCCAAAGTGCTAGGATTACAAGGGTAAGCCACCGTCCCCAGCCTGTGTTCATAATTTCAAGCAGTCCTTTATCAAATTGAAATGAAATTTAATTCAAAAATTACATTTCAGATATGCAATTTAGAAAACATTTTTAGTATCTTTAAAGGTGTCTCTACTTGTACCAATAAGCTTTTTTGTTACACATGTTTACAATTGTTTTTTAATTTCAACAGGGAAGTTTGGTTGGCTTGGTGGATTATCCAGATGATGAAGAGGAAGATGAAGAAGAAGAAACATCCCCCAGAAAAAGACCTCGTCTTGGCTCATAAAATATTTACTAGGGGACCCTCAACATGTGGTCTTAAAATGCTGCAACTGTTCAATGAGCTGAAAACCTGAATCAGAAAGCTTTCTCACTTGAACTTACAAATATACAAGGAGTAGCAAAAGACAGTATATCAGCTAGGAGAGTTTAGTTGTAAGAAAACAGGCTTCCCAGGAACTTGATCGCTTTCTAGAAATTAAGGGGTTTGCCTTTCAGGCTGTCAAAACACAAAAGGGTTAGTAACCCGAACCTGGGATATAAGCTTCTCACCAAGGAAAGTCTCAGGTTTTGGGACAGTTTGGGAGAGGGAAAAAGGTTGGTAAAATGAGATTAATGTAGGGCTGTTCCAGGGGATATCCAGTCTACAAACAATTATAAAACTTCAGTTGTAAACCCAATAACATTACTTGTATAATGGTGCTGGCCATGTTGTTGTTTTAATCAGTTGCCTCTTTTATAAAATAAATTTTTATGGAAAAGAAAATCAACTATCATTTAAAAAAAAATGGAGTTAAGCTGTTGGGACCATTTCTTTGAAGATTTATCAGAAATTCAGCCTTTTAGGAAGTTAGAGGGAAGCTGAACACATGTTTTCTACACCAGGAATTTTCCATATATATTTTGAAGAAAACAAACTGGGTTCAAAATGGACAGTTTTGTTAAAATCAGCACTTTAGAGATAACAAAGGCCAAGAATCAGTACAGTAAGAAGTATTCCAAAATGATTTTCTATAGAAACTTGGAAGTGGATATAACAGAATGTTTTCAAAGGCCTACCAGTACAAGCTTGTGGAAGGCAATTTGAGGTCACTTTCTGCTTTGTTAGTAGAGTTGTCTCTGTCTCTTCAGACCCGCAGGCAAGTTTTAAAGTGTAGTTTATAAAGACTAACAAAGAATATTGCTGAATTAAGTGGCATTTAATATCTGGAAGCCATTTTGATCCAAGAAGTTACAAGGAGTTACTTAAGCATCAAAGTCAGCATGCAGCACAGGAAGCTTTTCTATAAACAAGGGTGTAATGTGAAAGCTGCTTTTTTAAAAAGAGTATAAAAGCACATTCCATGTACGTAAATGAATTTAAAAAATAAATTGAGGCAAACAGTTAAGAGGTTTTATTTTTAGAACAGCAAGTTAACTGTAAATATTTTAATGTTAGTTTGCTCATCTATGATCTGAGATCATTCTGAAGTGAGAAAAATGTCCCCAAGATACAATTTAATGCATTGGGAAAAAAAGAATTTTAAATAGTAATTCCAGCTACAATCTTTAGATCACTTTGTAATGTGTTATGGGTCCATTTTTCCTGGAATAGCTTAAACTGAAGCAGTTTCCCCTGTTTTGGAGAATTTGTAGTTAATTTTAATTTTGGCTATTGTTTGGAAAAGATGGGCTGTCTGTGTAGATATGAAGTATAGTTTTTCCATAAAACAGATGTTTATTTTGTATTAAAAATACCACTGTACTTGTTTTACACCATTTGTATACATGTGGTGATATTAATGCTAAACTATAAAATTCAGGAATTAAAATGTGACCCTGTAATTCCATGACTGATGTTTGTGTTTGGTTTGTTGTAAATATAAATTAATTCTATTTTGAGATCTTTCCATTTTACAGTATCTTTTTAAAGCCAATAAAGTTATCCATAGATATTTATTATAAACCGCTAGGTCATTCCCTCGTCTGATTAAAGAATTCTAAACAGACACATGAGCATCAACTTCACTTTAAATATCACTGACTTCTCATAGAAGGTAAGCCTTGGGCAAACCTCAGCACCAAAGCATGCATAGAGTTTTTCTAACCTCTTCAATTAAAGGTGTACATATAATAAAAAAGACCTTCCACGGCAAGTCATTCAGGATGTGTTAAGCCAAGATCAATAAAGTTACCATAAAAATGATTTCAAACAGGTTTTATCAAGCCCTTCTCTTCTTAGCTCTTATTAAATTTTCTTATAATCTAATAAGTCCAGGTGTAAACACTTTTCCTGTTCACTCTTGACTCTTAAGTAAATTTAAGTTCCAATAGGAAGTATTATCTTTGTCTCTTATTAAGGCTTCCTTTAATTTTCCTTTGTGAGAACTGCCAAAAGTCTTAAACATTTAGATCATCATCATCATCAGAACCTTTTCTTAAAGCAAAAAGGTGCGTGAAATACGGGTAACCGTTTTCATGGTACATATGCTTACCCACAACAATATGAGAATAAAACTGAAAATATCTCTTGAAAGAACAACTATGAAGAGTCCATGTTAGCGGCTGTCGTAAAACACTACTCTCAGGCAGATCTGGGTTTTTATCTCCATCTTAACTCAGTGAAGCAAGCCAGAGCCATGTTTGTATGCCTTAGGTCCTCTTAAAATGTTATCTGTAAACATGCATCTAATATAAAAACTATTTTTAAGAAAAAGTTACATGAAACATTTGTGTTTTAATCACTCGCTTTTTACCTTTTCATCCAGTGGTAAAAATGTAACAAATGTAGAATAAGACTTGTTTTTCTGTAGGTTGAAGGTTATGAAGGAAGTATATAACTGAAATGAGCAAATTTTCCTAAACTAATTTAGGTAATTGCTTCTTAAAAGTGTATAGATTTCAGGAGTAAAATGGGAGCTAGGGAAGTGTGGATATGGGATATCGAAACACTGGAAGTTTCTGGAAGGTCTACTGTTCTGGTTTATCTTTAAGCAAACAGTCTACAGAAAACTATTCCAGGGTCATTTCTCATACAAAAGACTGACTATGGTAGCATTTCCCCCAATAGGTTCAATCAACTGTCCCTTTGCCTGTTTTAATAACAGCTTTGCTAGAAAGAGTAGTTCAGTATTTTTAACATTCCTACCTCTATTTCTCAAGTCTTGTTTGCTCTTACCTCAAATATAAACAGTAAATGTAAAATCCATCTTACCACTGCCCAAGATATCTACTCTTTTGATTGAATTGCCTCAGACCTGGTACACTCAAAACTGTCCTACCCACTAGTCTCCACACAGTAATAAAAATGAAAATCTTGATCATGTAACTTTATTGCTTCGAAACTTCAGACTTGCCACTGCCTGTATTACCAAATGTAAAATCTTAAGCTGTGATCACACGATTGTACTCCAGGCTGGACAAGAGAGCAAGATGCTGTCTCTTTAAAAAAAAAAAAAAAAATCCTGTTCCTTACCTACCTCCAAATATCATATGCTTACTCTCTCCAATCATTCTGTATATACTCCAGTTTTTCACAATGTGTTGCTCTTACTTCTTCCCTGCTGCAGGACCTGAGCTGTTCCTTTCCAGTCATCTGTGTAAGTAAGTACCCTTCCATTCATCTTAAACATCACTTTCTCAAGGCATAGCCAGACCTGTTCATAGCACTCTGCACTTTTCCTAACACTACTCTTTGTGCCTCCTGTAGCCCACGAAGGCAGCTATCCCGACGCTCTAGTTGACTACTGTATCCTTAGCGCTTAGCACAACACCTGGCACAAACCGTAGGAAAAGAAGTTTGAATGAACACACCATCAACTACTTTATTTCTATACCCCCCTCCAAGAGAAAACATCCAGAAATTTGTATTAAACTGATCAGCATAAGTAGCTGTCTTCCAAACTGCCTTTACCTTCAATGTTAATAATGAGCTTACATTTGCATTTACAAAAGCAAGTATTTGTTTGAAACTAAAAGACTTGGTGTAAGGGTTAAATAATTTATTTTTGAGAAAATCTGAGCGCTGTTTTTGCTAAAATTTTTAAATTATTACTTATTAATAACTTCTTCTTTAAGTTTTTCTGCAAGCAATCTCCTCTTTAGTAGTGTTTGCTTCTCCTCTGCTGTCATTTCTGGTTTCTCTGTCATTGCCTTAAAAAAGAAAAAAAAGAAAAAAAAAAATTGGCTATACTATAAAATGGGTTTATCTGTATAAAATGGGTTTGTCCATCCAAAATTCCCAACATACTGCCTCAACTGAACAAAGATTAAGGAAATTTTCAGGGGGCAGGGGAAGGAAGCCAAACAGACTAGGTTTCCTAAATCTCCCCTTTATAAAATCTCTTCTTGGGGAAGCCTCTTGGAGGTGGTGGCTGCTCTATGATAAAATAGTTCAGAAGGCTCAGGTAAAAGAGACTCCTGACCCTTGGAGCAGGACAAGAAAAGAAAACATGGTTTCTGGCACTGCCATTATTTCTAAGTCACAAAATCCTCATCACAATCTCACTTCTAGAAAAGACAGCAGCTACTGCACTAGGAAGTAGTATGAATAGATGGATATGCAAGGAAAATTAATGGGAGGCTTTCTTGTACATATTCTGATTTTAAGAATTTCACTTCCAGATTTGCAAATTTTGACATCTAAGGTCAGCCATACCTCTGCCTCTCCAGTAGGTTTTCCTTTCTGCTCCGTATTTTGTATCTGCTTAGTCTTCATATCCTTTCTCATGGACATCAACTTATCTCTCTTCTGCTTGAGGTACTGCTCTCGTTGCTGAAGCTCTTCTTTTCCAAGGACTGATAAATTCTGGGTCAAATAAGAGAAAGAACTATCTAAATTCAAGTCCATGTGATACCTACTGATTCAACTGGAAGTTTGAGTTCAAGATATAACAAAAGCCAAGTGTGTGACTGTTAACTTTCCTAGTACCTTGTCATTTTGCTCATGATTGTTAAAAAGTGATGTCTTCTACTCACTGCTATTGGTCCTTCAATGCTTGCATGTTCTAAGCCAGAAATCTTCAGGCCTTTTTGTGGAAGGGAGGAAGTTTCAGGCAACATTTCTACCTTTCTTGCCAATGGTTGTACTGACTGATTAGCAAAATGCACTTTCATATCTGGCAATAATCAGACAATGAGATGAATTAGATTATAAGAAATAGTTAGCCTAGGTTCACCAAAATGAGATAACATTAATACTTGTTCTTCCTCACATTCATTCAGTAAACATATTCAGTGCCTATATTGTGCCAGGCACTGGGTAAGAACAATAAACATGGTCTCTGTCCTTAAGGAGCTTGCACTGCAGTTTCTCATCTTATGAATAATGACATTTCAACAAGTACTAAGCTCCTGATGTTCATACGATACTATAGTTACCAAAAGATATAATCCTTGTCTAAAGATACAATAATGACACACAAGGTTGTCACATAAGCCAAATATTCCCTTACTAATAATATAATCGTTTCCAAAACTTTTGCTTGCAGGAAAAACATCTGTAAGTTACTCTATATCTTCAGAACATAATGCAAAGCTACAATTTCTGTATTACAAGAATATATGCCAGTAATATCAATAATTTTTGTTTTTTAAAAAAACTATATAGTCGGGCGTGGTAGCGCACGCCTGTAGTTCCAGCTACTTGGAAGGCTGAGGTGGAAGGATCACCAGAGCCCAGCAGGTAGAGGCTGCAGTGGCCGGGAGCGTGCCACTGCACTCCAGTCTGGGCAACAGAGTGAGACTCCAACTCAATAAATAAATAAATAAAAATTTAAAAAATTAAAACTATAAACCTGCCAATGCATTCAGAAAATGTAAAGATTTCTAAAGCAAGCAGAACTTAGAAGCACATATAAACATGAACACTCAATACTTTCCAGCTATTTGGTGACTATGCCAAGCAAGAAACAAGGTTAATATTCTAAATGCTCCTCTGAGCCAATTTTTACCATAAGGTGATTTTTTTAAAGATAAAACATTTTCAGTGTAAGTACATGGGGCTTTGAAAGAAAGCACAGTGACACAAGCAAAGACTTACATTAAAATGATGCTAAGAACTAGAAGCCTAATGGGAGAACATGGTACACATGTCTCTAGATGATTAAAAATCTTGCCATACCTGGTTACACACTAAAATCGGAACCAGAATTATGCCTGTGCAAGAAACCTGACAATGGACCACTGCTCTAGCATGGAGTGAGTGGACTGACTACAGCACCAGAAAGGTTGGAGGAAGAAAAGCTCTACAGGCCCTTGGATGGTAAGGGAAAGTTCCATGGACGAGATGAGCTGGAGCCAGCACTCCAAACCAACCTAGGCCTCAACCTCCCAAGTAGGTGAGACTATAGGCCTGTGCCACCACATCTGGCTAACTTTGTGTGTGTGTGTGTGTGTGTAGACAGAGTCTCACTATACTACCCAAACAATCCTCCTGCCCAAGCAATCCTCCAACCTAATTCCAAAGTGCTGGAATTATAGGTGTGAACTACTATGCCCAGCCTCAACAAAAATAACTTTTAAAAAAAGATAAGCCGGGCTCGGTGGCTCAGCCTGTAATCCCACGCCTTTGGGAGGCTGAGGTGAGTCGATTGCCTAAGCCCACCAGTTCGAGACCTGCCTGGGCAGTGCGATCTCATCTCTACAATAAATCAAAAAATCAACCGGGCGTGGTAGCACATGCCTGTAATTCCGGCTACTCGGAAGGCTGAGGCGGAAGAATCGCCGGA